ACAATTAGATAGAGTATATAGGACAGTTAAGAGAACAATATTTACAGCAGGTATTTATGTACATTGCAATCATATAAGAGTATATAGGACAGTTAAGAGAACAATATTTACAGCAGGTATTTATGTACATTACAATTAGATAGAGTATATAGGACAGTTAAGAGAACAATATTTACAGCAGGTATTTATGTACATTGCAATCAGATAGAGTATATAGGACAGTTAGAAGAACAATATTTACAGCAGGTATTTATGTACATTGCAATCAGAGTATATAGAACAGTTAAGAGAACAATATTTACAGCAGGTATTTATGTACATTGCAATAAGATAGAGTATATAGGACAATATTTACAGCAGGTATTTATGTACATTGCAATCAGATAGAGTATATAGGACAGTTAAGAGAACAATATTTACAGCAGGTATTTATGTACATTGCAATCATATAGAGTATATAGGACAGTTAAGAGAACAATATTTACAGCAGGTATTTATGTACATTACAATTAGATAGAGTATATAGGACAGTTAAGAGAACAATATTTACAGCAGGTATTTATGTACATTGCAATCAGGTAGAGTATATAGGACAGTTAAGAGAACAATATTTACAGCAGGTATTTATGTACATTACAATTAGATAGAGTATATAGGACAGTTAAGAGAACAATATTTACAGCAGGTATTTATGTACATTGCAATCAGATAGAGTATATAGGACAGTTAGAAGAACAATATTTACAGCAGGTATTTATGTACATTGCAATCAGAGTATATAGGACAGTTAAGAGAACAATATTTACAGCAGGTATTTATGTACATTACAATTAGATAGAGTATATAGGACAGTTAAGAGAACAATATTTACAGCAGGTATTTATGTACATTGCAATCAGATAGAGTATATAGGACAGTTAGAAGAACAATATTTACAGCAGGTATTTATGTACATTGCAATCAGTTTGGGCCACTGCACAAAATTTGTCTTAAGAAAACTTTTGGTTAAGGAGGTGGGGGTAAGCTTTGCGTTTCCCGGGCGCAAGTTTAGTTTTCAACAGCCTCTAAGCAATTTTGGCACTAAACTAGATGCATTTCACTACATAGTGTATGAAATTGAAAGAAATGTATCTCAGAGTGCCCAACTCCACTGATGGTTCTGGCTAACCTGACTGAGAAAATGTTGTGGAGAGGACAAATAATGATCCATTAAGGTTTAGGGAAACAGTGCTCATTGATAAAAAAAAAAAAAATGTTTTTCTCATTGGTTGGTTGATATGGTTAAACACCTGCTAACCGGTAACACTGATCAATGAAAAATCATGGTGAACAGGTAACTAGCTAACAACTACATGCAAATCATAATTTTATGTGTTATAAATAAACAAGACATTTGTTTATCAGAAATCCTTAATAGATTTCTAGAAATAAAAATATGCCTCTGTATTGACCATTAAAAAATTACTTGTTTTGAATAGTAAAAGTCTGTACCACTAAATACAATAACAATTTGAATATGATCTTGATGTTAAGTTCAAGAGACAATATTGAGTACATGTAACTGTAGACTTGTTTTCTTTACAGGGCGACCACCGTGGTATAATGTACATGGGGAATTGAAAGAAGCATTTGTTATAGGTAAAGTTGATGAATGTATTATTGTACCAGTATTTAGGCATTCAGACAATGATATATCAATATCTGGATAGTGTACTATTAGTGTCAGACAATGTGATGTCAGTGTTCAGCAATGTGATGCCAGTGTTCAGACAATGTGATGTTCAGTGTTCAGACAATGTGATCAGTGTTCAGACAATGTGATGTTCAGTGTTCAGACAATGTGATGTCAGTGTTCAGACAATGTGATCAGTGTTCAGACAATGTGATGTTCAGTGTTCCGACAATGTGATGTTTAGTGTTCAGAGATTGTGATGTTTAGTGTTCAGAGATTGTGATGTTCAGTGTTCAGACAATGTGGTGGTCAGTGTTCAGACAATGTAATGGTCAGTGTTCAGACAATGTGATGGTCAGTGTTCAATGTGATATCAGTGTTCAGTCAATGTGATATTAGTGTTCAGACAATGTGATGTCAGTGTTAAGACAATGTGATGTAAGTGTTCAATCTGATGTCAGTGTTCAGACAATGTGACGTTGTTCAGTGTTCAATGTGATGTCAGTGTTCGGACAATGTGATGTCAGTGTTCGGACAATCTGATGTCAGTGTTCAGACAATGTGATGTTCAAACAAACTCCTCCAGTGTTTGCTACTAATGTCAAAATGTTGATCACTTACAAGGCTTGCTCTTAAACTTGTCAGCCCTACCAGTACTGCAAGTTTTAGTGATTAGACTAGACTGGCGCAGTCGGGGCGATTAATTTGTTTTTGTAGTTTAAATAAAATAAAATAAATTGCAAAATGGAAGTGTTTGGGCGAAATCACCCCGACTGATTTATTCTGCAGGAAATTCATTGCTATTAAATATTCATG